AAGCAGAATGATAAATAGAATTCAAAGACTACTTTTTTTTTTTTTTTTTGTACTTGGATGCCTATCTTGAGTATGGACATTGTACTAGATTTTTGACTTTGGACAGAGAATTTCCTAAAAGGAAATTCAGATGCTGAAAGCTTGCAAGTTGCAAATACTTGATTTGTTTCAACTATAAAATAGTATATTTTGAAATGAATTAAAATCTAATTAGTGATCTATTGATTTTTTGCACAAATTTGAATTTGTTTAATGATATTCTAGTTTTGCAAATATATCCTTGGCCCTGCTATTACAGGGCCTTCAGGCAAACACAGTCATAAAAATGCAGGTGTGTTTAGCAGATATAATAAAACTACGATAAAAGTGCAGGTGTGCATAGCAGGTTTATCAAGTGATACTTCTATAGGCTAAAACAAACTCCGTCTTTATACAAGTTAAGAGGTAATCAGTAGTGCTGTGGCTTTCTGATTGCCCTTCCTCCATCATTTTCTCTCCAGCTCCAGAGTGGCTGTGCCATTTTATCAGAGTATGCTATGACTCACTTCCCCGTTTTATTTTCTCTCGCAGATGGCATCATTTCATCTCATGCTCTGAAAGTGACAAGTGACACTGTGGCACTGACTTTGTTGTATTCAGCTGTACGAGCTGTGATGAATATATAATCTGTGTTGCAACTTCCTTTGTCTCTGCCTTACACAGCGGTGGGTGAAGTAAGAAAACACAGGGAAGCTAATATAAGGCTTCAGATGCTAGTGCTGTGACTTTGAGCATGAAGGCAGTATCACTAATATCATTATTGGTCCCCGTGTAGTAGCACTGATAATGTGGGTTTTTTTCTGATGTGCCAGGGAACATAGAGGCGTACAGCTGACTCACTGGCTGACGTTGTCATTTTGGCACACAGTTTGTAAAATGCTGCCAGTTCTGTCTTACTGTGTTGGATCTATTTGCCCAGAGCTTTTAAATTCCTTTCCAGAGCTGGCAGTTTTTGTGGAACTGTAACCTATGCATCCCACAACACTTGACTTTTTAAAACTGTGAGACGTGAAAGTATTTGGTGTGTTGCCAAAGAGAAAAATATTCCAAAAGCTAGTGTGAAAGTTTTATTCTTTTTATTTTTATGCTGTCTTATGATAGGCAGGCACTGAATTTTGTTGCAGGGGGGAAAAATGTGTTGTGAAAGACCTTCCCACCACCACGCATGCTATATTTTATCTTTCATCAAGATTTGCTGTAGCTAGCTGATTTAGAAATGGTTTGATGAGTGGTGAAATAGATCTACAGCTGTGCTTGGTAACTAGGGAAATCCATTACAATGTCTCCACGTGACTGGATCTGATCTTGACAGGGGACTACCTGTACTGCGTGGTAGAAGGGATGATAGATGGAACTGGACCTCAAAATAAAACACACACAGAGGTATCACTTGGATTAATATCTGGCCACCATTTTTTGAGAATGTACATACAGGCTTTATTGGCCAGTAGCCTGGTCTTTAGCTTGGGAGCAGTTCTGCTGTATTGTGCTGCTCTTTCTACACCATCACTGGCATGCAAGTCCTGAGAGCAACATACCTTGAAGTCAGTAAGAGAAATGTTGAAAATATTCACAGACAAAACAGTATTGGCATTACAAATTTTTTTTTTTAATACTTCCCCTTCTGTAAAGACCTTTAAAAAGTTAATTTTCCATCCCAGAGTTATTTTTCTGAGCTTGCTTTCAGTTGAAAGGGACATTCTGTAGGAGTTCCACTTCCATTTGTGTGTTTGTTCTCTGCAGTGACTTTATTGAGCACATAAAGAATGATGGGGGTTTTTCAGCAATCTTTCAAGAGAATCTTCTGAAGCTTGGGTTGATTTGGAGAGGGAAGAGGGGCCAATATAACAGCAAAACCTCTTCTAAGTAAATAAGCATATGTTCTTGCCTGTAGTAACATTTCTTTATCAATTTCCCCTACATAAGGAACTAATCAAGACCTGGAGTATGTTTTTTGTACCTAATGATTTTAATAGGTATTTTTCAAACTTTTAATGCTCTATAGTGGTGATTAATGTATCAAGCAGGTCTCATAGCTCAAACTGAGAGGTTATTCCCCCAGTAGAAGATAGGGAAATGAGGCACCCTTAATGTTTTGAGGTAAGTGGAAATTCACCTTAAAGGTCAAGATCATGCATTCCATATGCCAGACATAACAAATTACTTTTTTTTTTAATTATTATTACATTCCTTTCCAAAAATATAGTTAAAATTCCAACTTCTCTGTCATGCAGGACTTCACTGTTTGTTCCAACCGGTCTTGTCTCAGGATCCAGTTCTTCACGCTGCTTCACGTAGCAGTGACCAAAGCAGTCAAGTCAAGACCCAGCCATCGTTAACTTTAAGGAACTTACTGCTGTTGAGAATAGCTTTCTCTCTAGCATTGTTTTCTTTGAGGAATTATAATTGAAGACGTGGACCAATTGTAGAAGACTGGTGAAGATGAAAAGGGGGAAAAGTAGCACACTTCTTTATCTCCAGAAAAGATTTATCATGCTTTATTTACTACGTAGCTTGGAAATAGTTACATGTAAACAGGACAAACTCTTTTGTTCCAATTGCAATGTCTTCTCTGGCAACAGAAGTTCCCTGTGGCTGAATTCCAGGGCCCAAAATCAGTAGAGATCTGCTGATTTCATTTTCTCTGTCACACCAGAATGAATATGACCCTGTCTTGATGTACTGATCAAACTTCTCTCCAAATACATGTTTATTGTGAATGGAACAAAGTTTCAAGTGCAGCAAATTCAATTTACTGTTTCCACTCTATCTTGAAAAAATAGCCTCTGCCTCCAGGTGAAATTTGAGTGCAAACAGGGGAATGTTGGTTTGTGGGGTTTTTTTTGTTCTTTTTGTTTTGGTTTGTGGTTGTTTTTGTTTTTTTTTTTTAAGCAACAAAACAAAGCAAAAAATCCCCACCAAAACAAAACCAGAAAACACCCAAACATCCATAAAGTAGAAATTATGCTTGAATACATATATGATTTTATCAGTTCTGTACATAAGAAGGTCCACAGATGCAAAAAGATCATTTTGTCTGAAGTATTGTTTTAGGAAAGTTTAGTTGTCTTTTTTAGTATTTATCTGTCTTTACCTTCCAGATTGTAGGAGGTCTCTTTACACTGTCAATATTTTAATGCGTCCTGTTGCAGGGTACATGTTGACATCAGAATGGAAGTCTCAACTGATAAATCTGGAGTAACTAGTTAATATTCGATATACCAGACGTAACATAATAAATGATTCTTTTTAATGTATTGCATTCCTTTCAAAAAATACAGAGTTAAAATTCCAACTGCTGTACTAAATTCTGCTAAATAATTTTGTAAAATAAACCATGTATATCCATGTGGATATACTACTCAAATGTCAAAGATGTGTAGACAAAAGTTTACCGTACCAGAGAAACACATTTTATAACAGCTAGGGAACTAGAGCAGGAGTGAAGCTCTGAGTCCCCGATGAGCTTTTATGTAATGTTTTCTGACTTTGTAAATCATTTTGAACTGTGTGCATACAGCAGTATTATTCATCTGTCATTTTGGGGCATAATGTAAACAGTTCAGCAAGAGTGCTGTATTTTCAATAGTTTCAAAATTATTGACATGCACTTCAGGGGAAAAATCTATTCTGTTAGTACAGGGAGTACAGCATATAAAGTATATATGTATTTTAAAAACTTATTTTTAAAAAATATATTTTAAAAATATATATTACTATATACTAATATTATGTTAGTTTTAAATATATAAGAGAAGTTATGCGTTAATTCATTTTCATACAAGACTTACAGTTCAGAGTGAGCAAGAAGTGTATCATGTATATCACAATCATATTTGAGGTAGGTTATAAGAATCTGAAATGATCTTGTTCATAGGAATATACCAATTCCTGAACAATGACAGAAAGAGATACAATGCAGACCATTTTTATTTTTTTTTAATCATAAATGGAGAATTCACAGTTAATATTTTTGAGGAGTCTGTGTAAACTGTTGCAAGAAAATGAATTAAGCTTAAATAAGTTTAACCGATTGAAAGATGACTTGCCTAATGTACTCCATTATCATGAATAATTTTGCCCTTTCACCTGTATAGTAGTAAATAATGAAAGAATTCAGTTCATGGAAATTAGGCAATCTTTCTCTTTGTTTTAATAACTGTGCCTTTGAATCTCACTCTGGTCTTTAACAAAGACTCCATATCAAGACAGCACAAAGCCATTGAGGGAAGAAGGGGGTGGTGTTAACATCAAGAGGAAAAACAGGATCATGAGGTAATGTAGTGGCAAACTTGAACATTTTATTACCTCGTTATTGAGCCCTCCCTGGAGCTTTTAAATTATTTTAATAAATGCAAACAAAATAAAATTTTATGAAAAATTTTTGTATGAGGAGCTGCTTTTAGGTAACTGAAGAATGAAATGGGATGGTTAGTGAACGCTTTCGTAGCCGGTTTGATGAGATCAAGTCATTACATAGAGAATTACAACTTTTTTTTAATTATTATTTTTAAATTTTTTTTAATTGACAGCCTTGCACTCTTCCAAAGATGCTTTTGGTTGCATGGTGGAAGAGACCGATTCCATGTAAGCAAATGCTTGATACTCATCTGGAATGTGAGGATTGTAATGTTTGATGGTTTTGGTGATGTAGACATTTGAGCCCAAGACGAACCCACAGATGAGATGTGGGTGTTTTTTTCCACCATTAGTTCAACTCCTCCTTTCTCTCAAGCTCTCCAATTATGCTAGTACAAAAAATATTTACTGGCATGGACAAAAACTATTTAGACATTTGAAATAGTTGTGGCAACTGGAAATGCTACCTTTTTTTTTTTTTAGCAATATTTTTTCCACTCTAACCAGCCCCAATACTGCTGCTGAAAGATCTTTGTCCAAATATATAATAGAAACAAATTGCCAAACTGTGGAACACACAATAAAATAGTTTTCTTTTCCAGGGTGCTCTACCAGCCATAAGTATTCAGCCTCCTGAGAACAAATGACTGTCTCGATTAGCAAGCAGGATGAGTAAATATGTAGACTAGAACATGATGCTGAGGACAGTGTGTTGCCAACGAGCTCTAGTCTAATCAGGAGATTTGCTCCAGAAGTGTGCTCCTCATACAAATGAAAATGGTAATGTGAATGTACCATTAATATGAAGAATGTGTATTTTAAGTAACTGTTTTAAGATTTTTTTTTCTTTTTTTTTTTTTTTTTCTTTTGGTCTTGCAGGTCTGTTAACAATAGTTTCTGGAGATGATTGCAGATACTAAACAGAAGATAAATCTGGTCTCCTGCATTTTTCAGGCAGATAGGAATGTCTGCCAGGCCAGCACTGAGCCAGCCAGAAGCTGTGGCAATATAGGCAATATGAAACAGAATGAGTTAATGTTAGTATGCCTTTCAGTAGATTTAGTGACTTGATTTCTGTATTGTGCTAACTTAATTCATGCAGCTTCCAGTTGATTTGGAGCGATGACTGCTTTTGTGTGCAAAATGCTTTTCAGACGTATTCTTAAAACTGCCAGTAAACAGAGCTATGGGTGAGAAGTGTGACTGCTGAATGAAAACAGTGGATGAAAAGGCCATTGCTAGAGATTTGGAACCCTAGAGAAAAGAAGAAAACCAAACAGATTATAAGCATAATTAGACCAACACTATGAGAAGGTAACCAATTCCAGTTTCTGAAAGGATGCCATTAGCTGCACAGTGAGATGACTTGGCCCATGAAAGTTCTAGGAGCAGAAAGTTCTGGGAGCAGAACAGTCCATTGTTTCTGAGATGAATTTGTTATTCAAGTTAGTGTATGTAGAGCATTCCTGATCTTATATGGGGCTGAAAACTTTCTTCATGCCTTAATTATGAAATAAATCTTAATTCAGTGTTATAAACAGTACGTCAGTACTATCACCATCTCTAGGCAAAGACCCCAGCAATAGTCTTATGTGTGCCTCAATTGACCATGATAATGGCATCAAAATTTACTGTACCCAAAGCAAGGCCATACATAAACCTTTTTGGAACAGGGGTCTGTGGTGTTTATGTAGGTGATGCCTCCTATGTAACATTTTACTGGTTCCACCATTTAAGAGAAACAATAATGTACTAAATAAGAACTTCCCCCAGCAGTTATTAGTGAACTAGACAGAGATTCTTTAAAGTATGAGATTACTAGAAAATATGAACTACTTCTGACCCACAGATTCATACTAATATTTCAGAAAACACCCAGAATTAACAGCATCATTCATATAAATATCTGGCAGGAAAAAGGTTGTTTATTGTATAGAAAACGTACATTTAGAAAATATGTTTTTTGTGGCTTTGTTTCTTAATATACATATAAAAACTTTCTATTTTATTGTTTAATTGCTTTGAGCAACATGAGAAAACTGGTATTTTGCATAGCTTAGTCAATTGAATTATGCGTAAGCATTATCACAGCTCTAGTTGCTACAAATATTTAGAGGGAAGGGGAGAAAAATGTGCAAGTCAAACCCTTCTGCCTCTGAGGGCAGGGACCAAATGGATATAACAGAAGTCATTGATAAAATGTTCTGTTTGACTAGACTAGTGACAAATGACAGTTGAGTAAGAGTCATTGTAATAAATCTAGTGGGAGAGTATTCAAAGTACAGTCCTTTTATTAATTTCTCCATGGTTAAATGTAATACTGAAATAAAACCAGTCTATATTCATAACCTTGGATTAGAGGCATAAAAATACTGTTATTGTTACCATTTAGTCTTGGTAATGCCCACATAGTCATAATCTGATGTGGCCAGAACTTTGAGATGAGTCCGTTCAGGTCTTTCCTTATAGGAAGCTCTTCAAACATCAAAAGGTTTTTAAAATTAAAAAGCTAGCTTTATTAGAGTAAATGTTGAATTACCTCACTCTTTAAAGACATTAGATAGGTGAGATAGAGCACAACTGGAAAAGCTTTATAAATCTCTCAGTCTGTCCCCTCCTGCTTCTTCTCCTGCATCCTTTCAGGACTGGTCCTTGCTCCAGCCCTGGTTTCAGTCAACTTGTTGGTTTCGGGAATAGTGGCAAACTCCACAGAGCCTGGTCTAGTCCTGCGGAAGTTTTTCCTTGTCCCTGCTGAGAAGTGCGTGCTTTCCCCCACCCTTCCCAGGAAGGGGAAGGCATGGTCCCTTCTCGAGCCGCAGGTTCTCAGCACTGCGCTGTGACTTTCTTCCCCAGTACACCACATAGTTTCTGGTATCTTATTATTCGGTTGTTCCCCAGGAACAGCTGTAACACTAGTGGCCTGCCCCTACGTCCTTCTTTCCTTGGAACGTAACACGGACACTCAGGACAAAGAGAACTGGTTTAGTCCATTTTAACATTAACATCCATCTGCTGTTCAAAAATAAGCAGTAGAGAAATCAATATGTAATGCGTGACAGTGATCAGGTATTGGAGATGCATTTTAAATTTTAAAAAAACAAAAGGATTTGAAACTAACTAGGCATATTAGACAAACAGCAAAGTAAGATGAATCATTTTCTCTTCTAAGAGGAAAGATGGTGTCTACAGGGAGAGCTTGGCCTTACTGCATAGTAGGTTTGAACCGGAATGGAGAGATGAGACAAATTCCCCAGGGTGTGCTTTGGTGGAATTACAAAATAAATAAAAAAATGTACGGGGTGGGAATACTTTTTTCTGTTACAAATGGTTTGAAACACTCTTAGGTTTTTTTGGCCAACTTAATACATAATCCTGAAACTAAGATGTTCTTGGCAAAGTACGTGCTTCAGCTTCTGTCTTGTTAGAAGATGCTACTCTTCAAGGTTGATTTGTTTTAGTTTAGTGTGACATTAGCTGCAGGGCTTTTCAGCAGTACAGGCAGAATTTGGTTGTGCTGGGAGGAGAGGGTCAGGTGCATAAAACCTCTGCTGTGAAAGTGAAAAGGGTGAGAGATGGCAAAGCAGGGTAGAGAACTGCAAGGGAAAAAGAAAAAGCTGCCGAAGAGTGAAATTTCCGTTTTGCTGCTACACACAGAATGAGTGCTGATTGCTGCTTCTAGAAGGCAGTCCTCTTTTTCCAGCAGCAGTGGCTACCCTTACAGCACTCTGAGCCTTCCCTGTTAGCAGTAGCTGCCAGCCTGACACGCCAATGCTCCGATCTGGAAAAGGAGCCCTTTGCTCTTTTGCTGCACATCGGCAGTCTGTGCCCTAAGGCATTTAATATCGTAGCTGTCACCAGAGGTTTAGCGTAGAGAGGCTTAATCTTGGCCTATGGAAGGACCGAGTCTTGGCCTGAGTTTCAAGTTTCTTAAGCAACTAAACCAGATACTTTCTTCTGGTTTCCTGTTTCGTCACCAACACTTCTCAGTTCTCTATTACAAAGACTCGATGGGAACATGCTCAAGTATTCACAACTGTGAACAGAGCCTAAGGAGTGATAGGATTTAATTCCATAGTAGTTGTGCGTGATTTTTAACATTTAAGAGTGATACATAATGACTTTATAATTGTGTGTAATAGTGCACAAAATGACAGAATTCTAAATTAATAATAGCTGTGTGTTTATTAGCTAGCTGCTGATTTAATTGATATACCATTTTTTTAGTGGTGCGTTGCTTAATCAATAAATATTGTGGTTTCTTAAATTAGTTACATCTTGGGCCTGCAATTAAAGAGGGAGAGTCAAACCCATAAATAGGCCTGTATGTTGCTTGGGCTTAAGCTAGGTCTCAGAAGGGATAAATCCATGTGGATCATTCAAGAGCAGCCTAGGTCTCTGAAAACAAATGGACGCATTGGTAAATAAGCAAGATTAAAACCAGTGTATTTGTTTAACTCTCCAAGAATTATGAAGAATTATGATTTTATAGTGGCAAGTGGGAGCTCACTTGGGAAACTAGATGTTCCGGTTTTAGAGAATACTATGTTTATATACTGATGTTAACATAGCAAACATTCTTAAGTCACAACAATGAAGAATTGCATTTGCACTGTTGTCTCAATTTTGCATCAGTATCCTGGCACATCACGTAGATACTTTGAGCAGAGAGTAACGATTTTCTACTTCTATAGTCCAAGTCAAGGTGAAAGAGCAAATTCTTAACACAGATGTTTCATATAAAACTGGCTTGCTTCATTCTGGTAAATATGAGAATAAACACATTCTAGCACTAGCAATGCCTGTGAATATTTTGTTTGAAAGCATTCAGGTAATCAGAAAAAACAGGGCTGAAGGAAACTTGAGAGGTCATCTAATTGATTGAACTGTCTAATAAATCTTTATCTTTGCTTAAAAATCTCTAGTGAAATAGCTTCCAGAATTGCATTAAGTGGCATGATCCAGTTCTTCACCAACTTACAGTGAAATAGAATTGCCTACTTCTGATTCATTTCCCTGGCAGCAGTGAAAAGTCACCACTCTTGTCCTATTCAGTGGATATGGAAGTTACATTCTCCTTTTACCTTACCAGTAGCTTTTCTTACAGTTTGAAGTTTATTAACATGTATTTTCAATGTAAAGACTTCTCCCCTCTCCCCCCCCGACCGTTTTCTAAAGTTCTTAATTTTGTTGCTGTGCTTGTGAGGATCTTATGTAGATGCAGATACTGACACTACTGGGGAAGGTGGAAGGATTGCCTCATGTTTTGCATATGACATTCCTGTTTGTATTTGCTGGTATTCAAACATCTTTAGTGATTTGTGTTGGTGATTTTGTGGATTTATTTCTGCTCAACAAAAGCTAGTTCTTATTTTGAATTAGTTCTTATTCTTATCGAAGTGTACTACTCTATCCAGTTTTTTGAAGTACAGTCTACTCCTTCTGCAGCACTTCATCCATCCGTGCAGTCCAGTTCCAAGCCCCCTTTTTGTGAAATGATGCAACTTGAGTGCTTACCTGTAAGTTGTAACCACTTCTCTGGAAGTTTGAAGAGTAAAGATCGTATATGTTGAATCTGAACAAAGGGAAGATGAAAAAGACTATGAAAGGTACAAGTTATTTTCAGTGTATTTTCTATGAGAGAAGAAGACATTGTAAATAGGCTAATGTATTGTACAACTATGATATCATCCAAGAAAGGTAGGGGGAATTACAGTAGAAAGCTGATCAATATGTATAAAGCTCCAATAAATGTTCTTTGTCTTTATGATTGGTGCGAGTTGAAAACTTGCTGAGCAAAAATATTTAGAAATAAGGGCAATAGAACTGGCAGGAGTGTAGCTATTCTAATCAATAATAAAAGGATAATCTGTCTTTTTTTGTGGTACACAAAGCAATAACCTGTTGTTCAGATTGATTAAATGCCTCAGCTCTGCTTTGATTATTAATCAGTCTCTAAAATGGCTATTGTGAGTATAATGCAAAGTGTTATAGGGATTAGGGACAGTAGTGACAGTGCTATTAACAGAAAGGCAGGGGGAGTCCTTTTTTCATGAGGTGAAAGAAGCTGAACTGAGTGGGGTGTTTTTTTTCTGGACGGGCTTTCTGTTGATATACATATGAGTGGCTTGACTGCCGTGTCAAGTTGCAGAGCTCTAAAATGGGGTCTAAAGGGTTAGTTTATACAAATCACAGTAATTTTGATCTCGGATACACAAATGTAAGAAGTGCCATTGACTTGATGGAGAAACAATGTGAAATATGAGGACTAAGAGATTTGGAAGCTCTTGGCTAGAAAAAACCCTGAGTAGTTACCTTTTGGAACCATGCGTTTGTCTGATTTATTCTTTGTAGGGATTACTTGTTTCATTGCTTACTTACACCCAAGATTATTTGAACTGTGGGCTAGCCTAGGCTTTCAACTTTTGTGCTTTTTAAGTTATGAGAAAGGAAAAAAAAAATCACCCCCGCTATGTATTTTGCACCCTATGTTTGGGGTTATGTAATTGCCTAAGTGGGTTTTTTCAGTAAGTTGGATAGGTGGTGTTTTCACTTCAAAAGGTAGGGCAAAAGGCCAAAGTTTCAGTTGTCTAAATGGCTCATTACTGTCTGAAAGGGGGAATTTGGGTTTTGCCTTTTTTTTGTTTGTTTTTTTTTTACTTCTATTAGGAGGTTCAAATATACCTGTTTTACCGAAATTTATGAATCAAACTTTATAAAATGCAGAATCACTTAAGACCCTGAGCAATAGCCTTTAAGTTGTCCCTCCTTTGAGTCCTGTTGGACCAAATGACTTTCAGAGGTCCCTTTCTACTTATCTTATTCTGGGACTCAATGATTCAGTGATATCGTGTGGAATAAAAAATATTTAGGATGTTAACCTTTAAATAGATTTGGTGCAACTGATGAGAGTAGTCGAGTTGATATTTATTTATCTTTTTCTTTTGGAGGGCTTCCTTTCACTGACACTTAGGAGTCCTTGTAACATGAGCTTCTCTATCATGCTGTCTTCTCATGACTGCCAGTTATTCATCTCGGTTATCCGAGTCCTGCAGTACTTGGAGGAAATAAATGGGTCTCCATGATGGGAATGACTTTAGTTTCAGCACCGCCTCTCTGAGAATTTACACATATGCAACGGATGGATATTTGTTTGGTTCCATACTTTTAGGGTAACACTGAATACCCATGAGTGTTTAACAGAGAAGCAAAGGCTACCATTATGAAAACTGATGTTAGATCTTCAGAAGAATTTTCGTCTTTTGAACAGTACTGACCTGCATGACTAATGATGCATTATGCCGAGAGTATAAATTTCATAGCATTCTCAATCTTGACTTCTTTCCAGCTGTGTTGTGTTTTGGGTTTGGTTTTGGGTTTGTAGTGTTTTAGTTTGGTTTTTTTTTAATAGTGGAATGAAATAATGAAGCTGGTGATAAAAGATGCCTATAAAAATGCTGGCAAATGTATTACTAAACAATATGGGTTGATTTTTTTTCTCTCGATCCAGCTGGTCATTAGGCCTTTCCAACTGTCAGTGTCTCATGTAGTCTCCCTTAATAGCAGCACATAATTAGCTTTATGCTGATCAGAGGCATTGGGGATAGTGGTGGTAATACTCAAATCCAAATATCAAAATCCCAGGGAAGATCGCTCGAAGAGACATATGTCTCAGCCAGCATTTATGACTTTTAGTCCTAAAGTCTGTAACTGTTGATTTAGGCACATGAGCTTTGAACTATGGTATGGAAACTTATCAATTAAGAATCCACAGGAGTTCTGGAAGAAAAGTACAGGTGTCTCTCCAAATGGTAATATGTCACTTTTTTTTTTCCCTATGCAGGCCTGTTCTCACTTCAGATATTGAATTTCTTCTTATCTAGTTTCTTATTTAAAAAAAGGTAATGAAAATTATAGTCTTGACATTGCTCTATTAGGAACAAATTGTCTCAATTTTTAATCTTAATCCAGAGCCCTATATATACAATCTATATTAGTGTACTTCACAGAAGTGTTTCCTTAATGGCTGTTACAGGATCATAGTTTTCTAGTGTTTTTGGGGGGCACTTTTGAGGTGTTTTTTTCACTGCACATATCTGATAAATGACTTGCATTTAAAATTACCCAAGTCAAATTGGTCCCAAACTCCAAAACTTCCATGTAATTCTGGAGTGTCAGAATTCCAAGCGTATTTCACACTTCTACTTTGTACAGGACTGAAAACTGAAGCTTTACCTCTGCAAATATAACATGGTAGTCATTATTAGGAAGGCCACTGGAGGGTGTTGATATTACTGCAACTAGGACTTAATCATAAAAGTAGGAATTTCTCTCAATTCTTTTAAAGAACATTTTATTTGAACAGCTGTCTTCCAGAGCTGTTCTGGCTTGCATATTGGGCTTCGACAAATCAGCTATTTGATTATGAAAGAGGTACCCAGCTAAGTAAGGGGCAGGATTTCAAACACTTCAGACATATATTTATTGACTAGATCTAGCAAATTAGTTGGTTCATGTGCTGCCTGGATCCCAGACACCACTTCATGATGCATCAGTTAGGGAGTCCACGTGCTGAACATCAACCTCTGCATTCGGCTCTACAGTCAGCCAGAATAAACTGAACAGGACTTCAGAAAAGGAAATACACCTTGACAAGTGAAAATTGCGTCTCCTGCATTAAAGTTCTTTTAAAGCTGGAAGTGTCTTTGAATTTAGGCTTTCAGTTCTTCAATAAAAGATCACAGTTCCCTTTTTGTTCTCTGGCATTGTAATCCATTTGAGGATTCTGTCAACACCCCTTTCAAAAACTGCATAAACCTGTTAAGATTTGTAGGAGAAAAATCAATACCAGTTACCTTTTACTCCTAACTTGAAGTTCACAGCCAGAGCTTCCTCCAAGAAATGTTTCAGTACTAGAAAAGGAAAAGCAGACATCTGTTTCTTAATGGTTCCCTATTGAAAGCAATTAGTGGTACCACTACAGGGATTATTTTTGGCCTAGATTTTTGCTCAAGGATTATTTTGGTTGTCCACTACTTGTTCTAACTGACCATAATGTAAGGACACATCTTAACTCTAACAAGACAGTGGGATAGATACCGAGAAAGTAAGTGCAGTACTTGAAATGTCGACTGGATGGGAAGCGTGTTGACTTCTCCCAAAAGAGATCTGTCAAGATTCATTGCAGGATCTATTCCTTACCTTCCTCCTTTAATTTCCTGCATCATTTAACCAGTGTTTTCTGTGGCAGAACTGCTCTGCACATCACTGCTTCCCTTTATGTTTATTAATAAATAGTGGTTTCTGCTATACAAGATTTTTTTGGCATGTAGTGGTGAATATAATCTCTCTGGGTTGCAGATACAAACTAAATACAACTCCCAGACCTTTTAATAAGAAACCAAAACCTGTTAATGATGCATGGGAAACAGCCTGTAGTTCGAATGACAGCTCCCTGCTCCCTCCAGATAAATTTAGTTTAATATTAAACTCTTTCCCTAATCTTTATGTTTATGTTTTCAGGCTTCTCTCTGGAACTTACTTCCTCCAACCAAACTTCCTCATACCTCAAACCACCTTTGGTCAAAGTGTAGTTTCAGGGTGTAGGGTGGGGGAAAGGGAATGCTACATTCTAAAGTCAGTTGAAAAATAATACACTAATGTACAAGAATAGGTAAGAATGTTTTATATAGAGCTGCACTCTTAAAAAAGAGTACTAAATATTTTGAGCCATTTAAATATGTGTGCCAAGCTCTATATGCAAAGCTATTAAAATATCGAGGCCCTACAAAGACCCTAAAAGGACTTGTTTTCAAGTTAGATTTAACAGTTAACTCTTAATTCAACTCTTTTTTTTTTTTCCTAATGCTGAACGGTAAAATGAAAATGAAAAGCTATGCTCAATGCTGTATCTTGAAAGCCTTGAAAATATCCCCAAAACTCAGCACAGATTGTCACCTTTAACATAGTTATTAATAATTTGAGGTATATGCACTACAACACCTGAACGGGAAGCAGTAAATTGGATAACTTTTATCAAAACAACTGATAACTTCAAAAAGTATATTTTTTGTCACCCCACCCCCCAGCCCCCCGCTGATGTGCTAAGCCGTGCTGTTTTGTTTTTTTTTGTTGTTTTGGGGTTTTTTTTAGTTATATATCTGAAACTCTGTTACTCAAGTCATGTATGGTCACAGAATAGATTAATACAATACTTTGCTTTCTTTGTAAACACACTTGTTGAAGACAGGTATGGAAGACTCAGAATGTGAATTATTTACAGTCTTCTTTCAGACAAGGAATTGGTTTTGCAGAAAAATGGGGAATTGGAGAGCTGAAGATGGACTGCCAATAGTTCTGCTGATATTTGATACTGTGCTTTGTTTGGGGGTCATATTTACTGCCTGTAACTGCTGTCTGTTCTTCCATTTTTATTCAGCAGAAAAGAAGCCTTTCAGTAGTGGAGAGGTGGTACAAAAAATTGTTACAATACAAGCATCTTCAGCGCTAGTTTGTAATGTGATGTTTTTCAGGCTTGTTCCATTAAGAAACAAAGGAAACTGAATAATGTTTCAAAACTGCATTCTAGTCTCTTTACCAATGTTCTTGACGTTATCTCTTATATATGCAAAGCAGTTCTACACAACCTTTAACTGGATCTTTTGGGGAAGATCAGCAGAATTTCCACTTTTCAGCAAAACCAAAAGGCTATAACTTAGGGCTATCCTAGATCACTGTAAGAATATCAGCCATGGGAATTTCACCCTGAATAATAAGACCTGTAAGAACCTTTAGCTTGTGGCTATCCCGTGTTCATACGTTTTGCCATGTATGCCCAAGTGTTACGTGGCGCAAAAAGCGTGCTGAAAGAAATTAACATTTATATTGGTGAAAGGGAAAAGAAGTCTGTGTTTTGTGAAAGGTACATGTTCTGAGAGAATATTGTTTTATGAATTCCTTTTGCCAACGTTGCCTTAATCTAGCAGAGCTGATTTGTATTACTTGTAATATTGAGATTGGTTTGTTACTAGTGGCTGCTTCTGTATTTTTAAGACATTGGTTGGATTAGCCTTGTTAGTGTCTCTCCACTAACCTGTTACGAGACTGCAGGCTGTTCTTGCCGCCTCCTGGCAGAGAAGGTTATTTCCCAGCCACGCTGCTTAAAGTTCCTTTCCAGAGTTTACTTCAGGCACAGTCTAGAGGACAGAGTGTCAACCCACTGAAGAAACAAACAAACAAAAATCTGCTGCCCTGCAATCTTAGTAGCAATGCTTTTCTTTCAGGTAAGGTGAAAGACCTTCTTCTTTTAGGTAAATTATTTATCAGTCAGCTCTTTGAGCCACCTGGGAACGGACCCTGTTCAAATTTGTCAGTTAAGAAATAAGGTCCTAGAGTGATTCTGAGAATCTTTGCATTTTTCATCATAGAGTGGAGTTAGTTTTTCTGCTGGTACTTATTGCCTTCTCTAATATAGCCAGTAATTGGATGTTTAAAACTTCAAGTGGAGTAAAACTACTGGAAGTACTAGCCAATACACTCCCTTTTGATACGTAGTTTAGCAGATACCAGAATTGGAGAGAGAGAATTTAACTTTTGTGCCAAAGAAAATAAAGGCAGTAATAGAGGTCCTCGAGGAACAAGCAATGTATGGGAAGGTTATGCAGGTGGGTTAGAATGAAGAGATAGCATTTTTTTATGTGCTGTTTGGAAGCTTGTATCTCTGCTGATACATTAGAACTATTTTCAAACGCTTTCACCACTTCCATCCCACCCCCAGGAAGAGGGAGCCAATTCATAAATAGAAAGTATTGGTTATACAAAAAAGATATTACACATCAAAATTCAGGAGTTTTGTGTATTAGGCCCAAGTGCAAACCATCAAATTTTATTGGAAAGCTATGAAATACAACTAGTTTACAGGTTAAATCACTAGTATGACTTTTTTAGGACATACATCAAAATTTACTTACACATATTAAGACAAAGAAACACATCTGTTGAATGATTGAATTTCCTGCTGCCTCAGAAGTCCTTTTTATGCCCCTTTGAAACGTATTTACTTAATTTTTCTTGTTCAGTCAGGTAGATATCATAATTGATAATGTAAGATAATGATTTTAATTTCTGTTGATGCATCAGAGAATGTAGCTGTTGAAAATAACTGTAAATAATCACTGCTGATAAAAGCAGAAGAAAATAAAGACAAGGAAGAAAAGATGTAAACATTAGTGGACTCCAGTAAGATTACTGATTTCTTTGAGTTGCTTGACAGATAAAATGGTGAAGCAAAATGTCCAACTTCAAAAACATCACTTGAAGAAAATACGGGAACTTAGCAGGGGAGGAAGAAAATGATTAATGCTACTTTGTTAGACAGGAAAAAATTCAATCCTTCTGCATGAAGTATTCATCATTTTCATTTTTGTTCTACAGCCATTTAGTAAGCATTTGATAAACGTCCATTTAGCTGTAGTAGGCAAAAATGTTTAAAGTCTTGGTTCATGGGTCATCTTTCAAAGCATTACATCTTAATAGTTAAAAACTTTATCAGCTTCTGTACAACTGTTTAATGTCTGAGGCTTCAAGCAATTCTCAGAAGAAAGCAGTGAGGAATTTCATTCTGAACAGTAGTGCGTGTTGCAAGGAGGGTATAATGCATATGCATTCATATTAGTGCTGAACAGATTTTATAAAAATGCCACTGGAGATATTGGTCTCAGAGGAGAAACACATTACTCCAAATACATATATTCAGAATAGCAATGAAACTACCCTCTGGGGGTTTCTGTGATGTTACATGTGAACTGTGAATGTTATTAAAAGGTAGGAAGGGAGAAGAGAACACATGCTTTATAGAGTTAAGTTATGTGCAGGCTGTAACTCATATACATAAAGATGTTTCAGACAGAAAAAGAAAGAATGTAAGCAAAATGCTACATGTAAATTTTTGGACTTTTAAAAATGCAATCTTGTTTATTTACAAAGAATTCACAGGTTCTGTTTCTTTAAAAATTTGGTGAAAAATGAGGTGTAAATGAGAGATGGAAAGAGACTTTTGCTGGTGGGTGCCAACCTCTTTAACACCACATTCAGCCGCCCCTACAAAATGCTCAGCTAGTCTGAATCTCTTTTGTAGTCTCTTGCTTCTTTCTCATATACCATTTGTATGCAAAGCACTATCCAGTAAAGTTTCTACTTGTTTCCAAGTTAAATTACCATAGCAGATTTCCACGTGCTTTTGGAAGGTGACAGAGACAGCAGTTCTGTTCTCGAGGCAGGTACTGTTTCGTGAAAGATCTTTACTATTTATTACATCTATCCCTGCTGGAAGATTGCAATTACTATCCTACTTCCAGCAACTCTTTACCTGAATCATGACAGCTCTTAATTATGTGTGAAAGTAGAAGTTATATACAGAGAAATTTCTTAGAGCAAATTACCTAGGAGATATATTCAGGCTTAGAATGGTCTTCAGCAGGGCTATTCTTCTTGTGGTTCTCATTCTGTTGTTTTTGCTTCAGGAGCTGTGAAACTTTGCCTGACTTATGATACCAGAATTTGCATTGGGAAGGAATTTCTGCTCCTTCCTTCCCAAAGTTTCCCTCTGTCCTCCACCCCCCCCCCCCTTTTTTTTTTTTAGTCAGATTTGGCCCTGTCTGTGTTTCTTCCTGTTAATAACCTCTTGCAGTCTACTGCTGAGCATACTGCTCAAGAAAACACAAAGAAATAAGTAACAAGCTTTCCAATTTCTGATCAAGCTTAATATGTTAAATCTTATTATTCAGCTACATAAGCTTTATTACCCTTCAGTTATAAATGTTGCATTTTCAGTTTAAGTGTTTATTGGCAAAAAATTATTAATGCCTGTACTTGGAGAAATGTATCACAATGATAGTCATGTTGGAGTTGACTTTCAAAATAATTTCAAGCCTGCAGAAGTTGACATATCAAAAATGTCCTATTCCAAGTCATACTAAATCCAAGGTTTTAAAGGATGTTCAGCTTTGAGACCTTCTTAATGAATAAAGATAACTGAGCTAGGACAGACGTACAGCTTCCTGGTCCAGACTAGGTAGGGCGTTAGGAACTCTGCCACTTAATATAGGAGAATGAATTTCAAGTCAGTTGCCGCAGAAAGACAAGAAAGGAAGTTGAAGTCTGGTCTCTTTTATCCCACAGAAACACCCTGTTGGGCTGTTGTGAGTAGATTTTAGTGCACAGTCCATCTTGAGAGATTTCTGTTTCTGTGGGAAGTTTGGGCTTTATTGTATCGACATTACCAGGGAAACTGTTTTCCCTGAAAACTTCTAGGAAGCTCTCAATGCTGTACAACAATTAAATTGTATTTATTATAGGTTGTTATTTCCTGCTCAGTCTCTCTTCACTCAGGATTATTCAATTATGGATGGTCACTCTGATTTTTAGTAAGTCTTTCTTAATTTATATTTCAGCACGAGACTTATGATGGCTTGAAATAAGCCTCATTTATTAAAGGTAACCCTGACAGCACATGGTAGGTTAAATTATAAAATGTGAAGAATTTCAGGAAAGAGATGATCATTGGGGATTGTAGTAGTAACTTGATTTTGCAGATTGACTGTCACTGATGATCATTCTCTAATCGATGTGCTATGGAAACAGCTACATGTGCAACACTAGTTCATCTTTGTTTTCTGTTTCTGCTATTAAGCCATCAATATAATTGTCAATAAAGGAGCTGGCCACTTGTTGGAAAGCTTATGTCCATAGATAGTAGAGAATGTTCCTGTGAAAAGACATTGGTCTCCCAGCGTCTTTAGAAGTTGAGTTTCAGAAAGCTGTGTAAGCATTTGTGCACTGCAGTTTTTCTGCAGTAAGGCTAAGCGTTACAGGGACAAGGTCATCCTGATGCCCTCAGTGGAAGGGAACAGCCCAGCTGCTTGGGGGACTAGAATTACAGGGCTTTTTTTCTGCCTAATTAGCAATATTACTTTATATTTTGCACATTCTTTTGCATGTGTTAGGAAGAAGTCTGCAGGGAGCTCATTATGTTACCAGCCTTGTAGTTATAGGCTTGCAAAGCTGTAGCTTCAGGGACGTGGGAGGTGCGTTCACTTGAAGGAATTCCATATCCAGACTGAAACATTGCTGAAAACTTGTAGGAACTCTGCAGGATGTTTCCTGTGGGGCATGCTTTATCCTGTCCTGCATGTTCCTGCAGAGAAGCTGTCCAGATGAATCTTCCTTGACGTATTTTCACTTTGAGATAATGGCTGAGGGCAGAATTTTTGCTCATATGTCATCTGTTAATGAGCCTCTAACCAATGAATGGGTCTGTGAAGAAAAAACAGCCAATGAAACCTTGCTTATCACTGCCTTGGCATGATTTTTCAGAGCCCAGTGTAGTTCCTGTGACTGGCATATTCTAGAAGTACAATTTAGTGTGAGGGCCTTTTATTTTTTTTCCCCTTCTTTGGTGGAGAGAGGGTGAAACGTGACAGCACCATATTCCCAGCACATTGCTAGGCTAACACGCTCAAAACTGCGCTGCTGAAAGCAAAACAAGAATCTCTAAAGAAAGGATATAGGGCAAGAGCTTATGACAACGCTTTGAGGACAATAGCATGAACATTTCTTGCAAGAATGTCTGTCTGAATCCAAACTCATTCACTTCTCTTTGAGCTTTCCTCTTCTGAAGACTGGATCCTTAAAAAAGATGGCACAACATACCTTACAGAGTTATTTTGTACAACCAAGTTAAACAGTTAAAACTGAAGAAAGTATTGTGTCATTATTTTCTGGCCATCATTGAACTATGTTAGCAGCTGCTCCTCAAAAAGCGTGTATATCTTTACCCAGTGAGGATCATAGAGGATGTTGCTATGTCAAGTCCCAAATGCTAGAGTTGATCAGCACTTTAAGGAGAAATATCAATCAGAGGTTTATAAAAAGATGCAATCAGAATGTCATGTACTTTCTCCAGTTGATGAACTGCACCTTTTTTCCTCTAGCTACCACCAGATAAATGATTTTGGATATGTATAGTCATTTTGGGGCACTACACACCTGGCATCACCACACTATCCTGTGGAAAAAGTCACTTTCTAATTTAAGTGATCTCAGACATAAAATGGTGTTATCAGTTTACCTTTCACTGAAATACAAATGCACAGACCCAAGAATAACCCAGAATAAAAAGGACAGTTTCATTTTAATGGAACATAGTTTGAAAAATAAGAGTTTTTAACAGTTGTAGTTTTGATTATAACTGCATTATGATATGGCGATACATTTTTAAACATATGGTATGTAAACATACTTTATGTAATGTGTAGAATTAACAATGCACGTAAATATAAATAGTAATTTTAACTATAGATAATTTTACCATAAGAGTTTTTCTTCATTTATGTAGAAAAATTGTGCCAATGAGAACAGAAGACTTAGTGGAGTTGTAGAAGTGTATGTCAGCATAGGATTTGTCTTCATCAGTGTGAGCTGCCGATTTTTGCAGCTTTCTATTGCTTATATCACTTCAGCTTCTAGCAAACCGAAGAGTGCTCATGTTTTTCCAGTCTTTTAGTTGCAACTGACTTAATTGCTTAGAAAAATATCTTTGCAGGGCAAAGCAAAAGCAGACAAAATGCTCCAAGAGTGCAGAAGAGTAGACTTCTGACAAAAAGAGAAATGGCACAGAAGGTAAGCCATTTCAACATACTATTCTTGCATTATTTAATGCATATTTAGTGTAAATAAAAGAAAATAGACCAATACTAACAGTGTAATCTGCAGTGATGCAAAATGTCTTGTTCTTGGAGGTTCAGGGAAGACTGTGTTGTGAGATTTGATTATAAAACTTCTGAACACAAAAATGTATTAATTTCTGTAATGTACTAGGCATGTCATTCTAATGTGTTCCAACAAAAGACCTTTGGGGCTTTTTTAAATGTTACTTGAATATTTCTTTCAGGGTGGGTATTCCTTCTTCACTTCTGCTCTGTGGTTTATAGAAGGACAATGCAATCTTTACTAATTAGCATGTCAAAGATAGAGGATAGCTGCCAAAATATAGGGTACAGTGTGTCCAAAACTATTCATCAATCTTCATCGTAATAGCAAAGTAAGTGTTCATTGACTACATGTATGACTGTCTGGGCATTCAATTAGGCTTACTTACTGGCTTTTAGATTGCAAAACTGGCTCATCTGTAAGTGCTTTATCTGGAAATAAATATTACTTGTACACTCATAATTACATCTGTAAAGCTCTTAATTTATATGTTTATATGTAGTTCATCTCGATGCTTGTTTTTATTTTCTAGCTGCATTGCTACTGACCTGGAAGATAACAAAGGCAAAAGACCATTTAATTGGTATTATTAGCACAACTCTTGCACTGCTCAGACAGAATAACGTGCTGTGTGTGCTTCTGAAAGTATTTTCTGAATAATCTGCCTCAGATTTCAAGCCAAGTGTTTAGACTGGAACAGATGAATAAATACACATTCTGCTGAAGTGGTGGAACTGTTTTAGGGTGTGAGCGGCCTGTCAAACTTTACAGCAAGCATTGCTGATTCCAGCCTTCTGTCTCTGTCTTTCATGTCAATATTTTACCTGTGTGGAAAGTCCCCTGCTCCCTGCAAAATGCATACTCTTAAGTTCTAGAGCTGTTTGGTGACATTCAGTAAGCTAGGATGCCTAGGTTCAGTTAGGCATGCCAAAGAAATGATAGTTTTCATTTTTACAGCTATTACGAATTTTACTACTTTTTAAATCCTTTTTTAAATGGATTTATCATGCCTGTTACTAATCCTTTCTGTCCATGTATGTGTCTTCCTCAGAATATGTGGTTATGTCCTCAGTCATCCTCAAGAGCATTTAAATGTCTAGCGGATTTTGGAAAAGTCAGAGGTGGATTATTTTTCCCTATTCCATATGAGATCTCATCTCAATTCTTCAGAACAATCCCCTTGTCACTTCTCAATAACACAGGAAATCATGGGATAGTCTTCGAGTCACAGAAAAAATACCAACTTCTGATTAACATTAATAATTTAAAAATCATTAAAAAAACACATTATTTTTGATGTCTTACTAAGCTACCAACTTTTTTTAAAAGTAATTGCATAATAAACAAATTAATGTTTGAAGGAGCAGAACATAGATAGTTTCAGGATAATCTAGATTTCTGAGTTCAGACCTGGAAGTAGAATTCAACTGCCAAGCCTGAAAAATGATACACAGACATGAATAACATAAATAGCATCCACAAGTGCTGTCTGAGACAGGCTGAGCCAGATCTTTAGCTGTTCGAGACTACTGATTTTCTGTGATAAGCTGTTACAGCTGTGATAAGCTGCTATCAGAAAAGAGTTTGGACAAGGAAAAATTAGTTTTACTGTCTGACTCTTTGAGAAAGATATAACTAGGCAAACTCCCATCTTCTTCCCACAACATATTTGTTTTCTCCAGCTTAGCCTTGATTGAATTTGATTTTTTTGTCTTGAGATTTTGATTTGACTTCAGAGAAAAAAGTGCACTTAGAAGTAAGAGGATGGAATTAAGCTGGAATGAGGGCTTAAATAAATATATTCCTGTAGATGCTTGGGAATCCTGGCAATAGAAATCCTGTGGATTTCTACAATCCAGGGCTATTAATGCATTCAAAAATGCTGACCGAAATACATGTCACATTCTGCAAGACACTGATGCACTTCTGAAGCTGTGACACTACCTGGTTCCTCTTCTAATTACTGCTAACAGTTCCAAATTAGGTAATCCTTTAACAGAGAGGTCATCCCACCTGTACCTAAACAGCTATTCAAATAGGAGTACCTAACTCACTAGGTATCGAGCAATGGTAATACCTAGCATAAGCATGTGGTATAGGACAATTTAACTCTTAATTGTCTCCGTTAAGGCGTATGTATTTTTAGATGCATTTTAAAAACTTTTTGCGTAAATCTAGTATTAATATTAATTTACTATACCAACATTAATAATTCTGTGTTTATATCTGACAAAAGGAAGCAAGCATATTCTTAATGCTTAGGAAAATCAGTTGAAGTTCACAGAAGTCAGTGGGTTATCTATCTAGGAAGTGTAGAGCAGAGGCCTAAATTTCTGAAAGAAAGCCTAGATCGTAGGATTTGCCACAAAACTAGCCTGCAAATTATTCTGAAAAGACTAATGTACTTATGAGGCAGAAGAGGGGAAGTGCAACAAGAGTAATATAAATTAATAACGGGAGTTATGACCAGTTTTGCTATCAGCATTTATTTTGATATAAACCACAGAATTTCTGAGTCTAGGCACTCTCTGAGCTATTGAGAATTGACATGCCAAGAGTTGTCAGCTCTCTTTTTGTATTTCCAAAGCAACTTGTCCCAAATACGTACTGATGTCAGCAGCACAAATGTGTGCATAGTCAATTAAAATGCTTTTCAATTTTTTTTTTTTAAATACTGTAAATTCTGCAGTGTTGTTCTTCAGCTCTCACCTTCTGAAGATGAAAAAGCTACTGAAAGCACCCCTATGTAAGACAGAATACAAAATGTCTTCTCATCCCAGGGATGCTTTGTGGTGACAGTTTCAGAGGCAGCAAAAACTAGAGCAGCTTTAGTACCAGCATTCACTGCCTGCGGTGCTGAACCATTGGGGCCCAAGTTACAGATACGGGGTGGGTAATGGGTCAGTGAAACTTTTGAAGCCATGTGTATTCCTTGCTACAGTAATTTCCTAAAGTGAAGAAGGCATCAGACTTGAACTCAGTGGTGGCTATTATGAAATATCTTGGTCAGCTAATGGTAGCAGAAGTTTGAATTGCAATCTTGATATTCAACAGATGAATAGTTTGGTTTTCTTATTTTGCTTTTAGCTGATTGCAAAAGAACAATCTGTTTCCAGGAAAGACTGTTAGAGGACTTGGCAAATATTTGTTGGGGAGCAAGTCTCATTTCTCATCACAACCTCTTCATGTTTTCCCTTTAGAAAACAGTATTGTGCCGTTCTGCAAATCTTGCCCCAATACTGGAGAAGGATGTGTTTGGAGACAGTGGAAGAGGAGTCTCAGTGTCTACAGCTATTTCACTTATTACCACAGAAGAACTGAAATGCTGACATAAATCTTTTTTCTTTTAGGAGTGTAACTGACATCAGGAGCCCTGCTAGCTATTGAGTCGGAAGCCAGATGGTTGATAAGGAAAATGCAAGTAGCAGGTGACAATTAGCACACACACACTGCCTTAGACTACCTGCATACCCCAGGACTGAAAGATTCACCAATCGGGTAACACACAGTATTGCTCCTGGAAGCTAATTATTGCGTTTTAGGAATAAAAAATGAAAATTTGGTCACACAGGGAAAAATAATTGCTACAGCTCTGTTTTGTTTGGTCACAAATCATTTGATTTAGGGATGATCAACCTTAGTATTTCTGGTTTTATTAATATGACAGACTTCTAACTGCTTAGTTTGTGGGATGTAGAATAGGTTGGGAAGCTGGTGAGAAATATGCTGTCACACGATGCCTGAATTATAATGGAGATAAAATGTACCAACTTTCCTCCTCCAGTTTATCCTCCTTGGAAAGATGCATGAAAAATAAATGGCTGTTTCTAGTGAAAGCAAGTGCTACTTCATCTAGAATAAGCATTCTGTTGTTAAAAGATTTACAATATTAACCATTCTCCACTATCGTCTGCAATCACTGCTTCTTCTCTGCTCTATTTTCATTTTTTGAACCTTCCTCATTTGCCTACTAGGGTTTTTTTCAGATAATCTGGAAGGTGAAGAATGACCAGAGAGAACTCAAATGCCATTTTGTTATGCTTAATAGCTGATTAAAAAAGAGCTGGCCCATCTCTAGTGTTCACGCGCAAATGCTCTCTCTCGGGTTTTTTAAATTGAGTCATAATTGCCTATGCCAAAAGCTGTCAGTACAACAGGATAGAAAGCAGTCAGCTCTTCTTAGTGTTATATAAAGTTGTCATTTTGGAAGAATGAGCAATGATAAAGAACTGTTGCAGTGCTTTTGCCCATTTTCACAGTAAACCGTGGTGTTTGTGTTGCTTCTAGTGTGATCTTTCTAATAAATTAAGTTTCTCTTGTAAGCAACGAGTTCAAAACAAAGCAATAGGAATTTAAGTACAATATATATAAGGAAAACGGGGCTGGATTTCTAGAAACATTTCTATCCAACATGGACATTCCTGCATGTGGTATGATAATAGATGAAAAGATTTAGGACTTTCATGTAAAACATGAAATTGAGTGTATTGTTTCTACTGTGGCAAGCACATTAGCAGATGCTAACATCTAGCTGTACATTAAAAGAAAAATTTAATGTAAACATTCTTAACCCTGTATATAATCTATACATACAACATAGTATGCTGACTTCCCTAATCATGTGTGATTTCATGGGTAATATAAGGCATAATTAATATTTATAGTGTTTGAAATCTTAGCAGAGAATGCTATCGCTGACTTCTGTAGTATCTATTTTTTGGACAACAGAATTCCCACCTATGTTGAGAACTTGCTTTGCTTTCTCATTAACATTCAAATTACTTTTAGGACAATTATTAATGAAAATCAATATTATATAAGCTAGCTCTGGAGCCACTGTTGCTTTTTAGTAAGCAATAATTTACTTTTAGCTCTCTGTAACCTACAAGGTAATGCTTCTGAAATACTGTATTTCATAACCGTAGCTGAAAACCAGTCTTCAGAGTACCAGCATCTGTGGCAACATGTGCTCATGCATTAATTTGCTGAGTCAATGTTCCAGCTTTCTGGTTCACCTCTTTTACTGAGGTGGTAACAGCTTTTCTGAAGCTGTTCTACAACAGAACGGGCTGCTTTCTCAACCAATGACTCATTGTTTTGTGTGTTACGCTTTAACAATTTCACAGGGGACAATCCGTCCCCATTAAATAGACATAACTTCCCTAGGTTGCTCATATGCCTCCTAGTGCTATTACTCTTCTGCTGTTATCTGACTGCAGCTATCAACTACATAGACATTATAGTAAGAAAATACAATCGTCTGACACACAAGCAGAAATCCACCTGACTGCAAGCTCTCTAAATCTGCCTTATAAATGACGCTTGCTGTTATAAAATATTAAGGAAAACTAGAAATGGTGAAGTTCTTCTGGAAAGCAAAAGATGCTAGAGCACAGAGGAGGAAGGTTTAGAGAGAAAATGTTAGATGCATGTGTTTGCATAAACTGAGGTAGCGCTCAGTAACTTAAATAGGAACACGAAAGCGAGTGTGTTCTTATAGATGATAAACTCTCAACATGGAAATTATTCATTATATGCATGTAATAGTAAACTAGCTTTATGAAACAAACTGCATCCAAAGAGACTGATTTGCTTGCAGCTGTAAGCTCTCTGTACTTCCTGTGTGTGTCAAGTAGCATAAATATTATTTAAGTGGTGGGATTTATTTATTTTTTTTTCCCCAGACAAGCAAAATGATGAAGACTGACAACTACAAATTGGCTATTTCTTTCAACTTTGTATGTATCCAGGTTACGTTTGATCGTTTGAAATTTAAATTTGGTGTCTGGGCAAGTCACAAGGTTGGAAGCATAAGAGAATGGCTTCTGTGTATAATTAACCCCATTCCAAAAATCCCTAGTTACAGTTAGGTCAGACATACATAATTGATTATCCTTGGCATAAGAGCTTTGACTTACACAGTAGTTGTGAAGGTAAAGTAATGAAAGTCTGGAAAATTTAGTAGCCTTGCTGCATAGTATCTGAGAGGAGATGGGTATTGGGATTGCATTAATACGTTAATCTCACTGTTACTTCTAAATATAGTCTCGCTTAATGCTGTGTGATTTCCTAATGACATTGAGACATTGCTGTAACTCAGTACTTTGAATTCCTTAGCACCATTTCTCAAGCTCTGTTCTAAGGCAAAGGTATTCCTTTGTTTGTCCTGGACTTCTGCTGTTTCCATTAGTAGTCTGTAACACGTTTCGTCCAAGACAACGTGTTACAGCCCCACACCTGCCACTGTGAACTTCTGTTCCCTTGCTGGCTCCTTTGCTGGTGCCACAGTCACCTCACAGCAGACTAAGGGAGCAATATTGGAAGATGAATAGGTGAATGAACTGCGCGCTCCAACCTTGGCATTTTCCAGCTTCAGCCATCAGCTTTCTATTTCACACAGCACTGTGCTAAGTTGTCTGCCTTTGTCATGGAAATCTTCCTATTTGGGGAAATTGCATAATAGTCTGATTCCCAGTATGCCCTTGAGCTTAAAAAAGAAAAAGAAGAAAAAAGTTAGCCTGCTATTCAAATCAGAATAGGGTAAAGATCTCATGAGCAAAGGCTTGAAAGTGCTGTAGTCTGTTGTATCAGTAGCAATACAAGAAATACTACATTCTGGGTATTTTGGGGTTGTTTCATCTGTCACATTTCCAGTTTAACTTGATTCAAAGATTTTGGAGGAAAAAATGTCTTTTAAGGCGTATCTGTTTTTTTGTTTGGTTGATTTTTCTGTTTTCAAGTTGGCTTCTATTTTTGATTAATCTTCTGAGCAACTGTATTCTATTTTTCACTATACACATTTTATTCAAAATACTGAAACTGAGGTGTTAAAATTCAAAGCAGAATTGTAATAGTGTGTTTATAATATAATTACGTTATCAGTATGTTTCTACCAGTATCTGATTTTAAAATTACCCCTATTTTTGCAGGGGTAACAAATATAAAATAAAGAATTTATTGCCGAGTTCTATATTTAGCAATAATGATTATGTGCTTCTTTATATCAGTAGATACTACATAAAGTTATGATGTTTAATGCTTTATGAAAAAGTAAGCATTCTTTTTATTTTGTAAGAGTATATAGAGTTAACTGTATTGAACACCACCCCAGTCACATCACACCACACCACACCCCCCCTTTTTTTTAAGTGTAAGTATAGCTAAGATAGGAGGAGGATTTCAAAACAGGGACTCTGGTAATGTGACTTATGCAGTATCAACTCTAAAGGTCAAATAATGTTGTTGGTTGCATATTAGAGACAATTTTCTAAGCTTTGGAGGGGAAGAATGTTTGCATTCATGACTCATGTCCAGGCTAATGCTTTTATTTCCTACAATAATTATACAGTATCACCATGTTACACACACAGGCTTTAAGTGGTTTTGAAACCAGCGGTGATTGAATAATGTGGTATCTGACTCCCTCTGTTATAGGAATTACCAGGAACTTTAAGTCCTTTTTATTCTGTGTCTGGTTCCTAGCTCTGTCTGAGTAGTAGTTTCCTGCATTTGAAGATAAACCAAACCTTGTACCACTGGGCCCTTGGCCATGTTCTTCACTGGCTTTTGCATTCAGCTGTGTGCATGGTTTCTATCTCACCCATGAACATTCTAGGGCTGAAATGTTCAGTTTTGGGGAAAAAGTGAGTGAACTTTTTGCCCTTTATCCTGTGAGAATATTTGCATTTCCTAAAATAGCGGACACACTTGAGAGTAAACTGAAGTCACCCATCTGCCTTGTTGCTCTGATTTGAATGAAATGTTTGTCAGCAGCTTATTTATCTACAAATAAATATTTGGTAGTGCTGTGCTTTGGTAGTGCTCTTATGTATTCAAATGAAAACAGCAAGAGAGACACAAAAAGCAGGGGAAACTATTTGTCTTTCCATTTAGAAAACAATCTCTAAAGCTGCATGTCATTTGTGGGGAGGGCTGGGAGGCAGACCTCTGGAAAGCAAGGTGTGATTTGACTTCCACAGTACGAAAATATTTCATAAAGAGAATTACATACGTAACAAGGAAAGACATTAGGTCAGTTGATGCCATAGACAATTCTTTCTTTAAAATGAAGTATTTTTGCCTTTCAGTTTGAGGGCACTTCACAGTTTCTAGGTAGCTTCCATAACAGAAGAGATAATAAAATAACTGAAGCTTACTTGAACTTGTGCCATAACAACTATAACTTAAAATCACTACAAAAAGACTGTTTTCAGTCTTTGTGAAAGTCTAATACTCTGTGCAGCACAGCTGATGGTAATAAGGCCTGAGAAGTTGTGAAAAATTCCTTTTAATGTTTGGTATGTCCTTCTCTATTGAAAGAAGTACACGATAATTGTGTAAAACTCTACAGAGTTCAAAGAAAATATTAGATGGATGCAAGTAGTGTACACTCAACTCTTCAAAATGTCGTGACTCAACGGAATTTCTTGTGGTTAGGCTGTTATGCCCTCAAGAGGCATCTCTGCAAATCTGGCAGCAGCACAGCAGTATTCACAAGGCAATGGAAATTTTAAATATTTTTCTTTAAATTTCTCGCTTGACTTTTAATATGTTTCCCCCTCACCCATTTAATTCTCTTCTCTGTAATAAGTTGGACAAAATTATAAGTTAACATGTTTTTACTTGTAACTCTGCCTCTTTTTGGCTTGCATCAAAATAATTTTCTTAATAATGCCACAACATAGAGCACTTGCTCAAATTACCCTGAGAGATATGTGTTGAAATTGTTATGAGACACTTTTGCATTATTTACATCATGACGTTCTGTCAGTGTAGTAATACTCAAGACTGTTTATATTTCTGGATTTAACAAATATGTAAATCAGGTGCACATTTCCCTAGGAATGCAAATGTCTCTAATGAGGAAAGACAACAAACTTCAAACCAAACAAACAAAAGAACAGAATATGGTAAATAATAGCTTATGCGAGAGTGGGGAAAGAAATGTTGCTCAAGGAAGTGGACTAGAGATACCGGGCTGTAATCCTTGCCCTGGGATTGTTTAATCAGCTCATCTTGAAGCTCTGACAGATCAATTGTTTCTTAGCAGGGAGAGAGCTGGGGAAGAATGGCAGCCAGACAGAGTTTTCCCATAAGAGGGCATGAAAACTTCTGTTTTTCCTCCATGTGGCAACCTAGAGAGCTGAGAGGATTGAGTTCCTCTGGCTGAAATTGTTAACTCTGATAGAATACCACTCCAAAGGGCCCCAGCTCTCTGAAATACTTTTTTATATTGTAATAATTAAAATAGCTGTTTGATTTCAGTGTATAAGCACAGAGTGGGAATAGCATCATGGTGAATTGAGTTTTAGTATTAGAGAAGGATTTGAATGTCCTTCAGAGAGGCATTCAGCTTGGATTTCATGTCAAAACATTTCCCTGATTTAGTAAGGATAAGTGATATCTTTGAATCATAATGTCTAGATTGAGTATATGTAGAGTGGAAATATTCTTTATTGTGCTGTGTTTGTGCTGTGCTTTTTATTATGCATTGCTCACGGAAAACTTTATCTTCCATTAAAAGCTGAATTCTATTCAGAAGTGCAATTAAACAAAATTTGCTCACTAAAATAAGACATCATTTATTTCAAGCTGGCTTCTATTTTGAATTTTGATGGCTTCCTGCTAAATATGCAAGCTTTCTTTTCTGTGAAATTAGTTCAGTATCTAAAAATCTGAATTACTTGGTATTTCGTTTTTCATCATGTAACTCCAGCCCTCAAAGTACTGGTAAGCATTATATTTCTCAATTAACCACCATCTTTAAGATGATCATTATGGTAAAATTATCCTGAGTTCTCAAAAATCTATGAATTCTGAATAGTGTATGTGTAATAAGTGGGGTAAAATGTTTTAATTAACATTCCTCAGTAATCCTTTAACTGCATATTTTATGTAACTATTGCCTTTTCTGCCTATTTTCAGTCTTTTAACTAAGAAATGTGCTTTGTGTCTGTTACAGTAAGAATGTCAGTTCGGTTCTGTACTGTGACAGCACCACATTCACGAAGCCTCTGTCTCATTTGTCTCTGTCATTATATATCTGGTCTTGCTTTAACACATTCTCACTTGTTTGTACTGGCAAAGTGGATGGGGAAGGATCATTAGCAGGATAGCAAAACCACCTTGAAAAATGCTATCTTGATTTTCCCATGTGCTGCTTAATCTGTCATGCAGATACAGGTATTACAGTGCTGGAGAACAAGTTCACTAAGCCAAATTATTTCCTGATAAAATCTGTCCCAAAGTTATGCCAAATCTCCACATCTGAATGTCTACAAAAAGTCTAAAAATGACTTATTGGTAGTAAATGCATGTGGTAATTCTTTGAAGATTAGAACATGTGGAGGGCTACTTTGGTAACTCTGACTTCTGTTATCCTAATTTCCATCGTAAAGCAGAAAAGGTTTGCCACAAAATCAGCTGACACAAAATTCATTTGTCATTTCTTTCCCACTATTACACTGCTAAAAACTTTCTACTTTCCCTTTCCTACAAGTTAACACCATGTAGGAGGTGTTAGCTCTGTACTGTTTGAACTCTGAAACCTTGTCTCTGGGGGAGTGAGGAAGCCAGAATTACTGTGAACTGCTGCTGCTGATGGTGAAAGAAAACTTGATATTCACAAAACTCTCAGTAGAAGCTGGACACAGACTTTATTAAATTGATACCTCTAATATCTCTAATTGATACCTTGGTTAGGTCTCCAATGGAGCGTGAGTTCAGTGACTTCCTTAAAAAATATCATTCACTAGATAGATAGACATTAAATTGACTTTTTAGTAGCACACAACTGTTGTCAGTTACAATGCTACCCAGAAATCTGAACTGTCAGGTGCCCTTAAGTCTTATTGATTTGGATGAATGTTTTAAGAACTACCAGAAATTATAAGTATAGTGTATAAAAGCAGTCTTCAAATGTAGTCGTAACACAGAGTATTATTTAAAAGACTCGGACCATCAATATGAGTATGTATGCTTTAATCTGTTTTTGTATGAAAAGGTAAGAAAAAAGAATGCATAACAAAAGAGCAGATAAATGCATCAATAGTTTATGGTAGTAAACTTGTCTAGGTAGGAGAGAGCTTATTACTAGCTTTCCTTAGGATTTGCAACTTTTTAAAAGAGAAATTTCATGTAGGAATTTTTTAGTTGTTATATTAAAAACATCCTCCACCTTTCACGTTCTCTTCTTGTGTTCAAACTGCTCATTGTGAATATAAAATAAATCAAAGATAATCAAAATGGAAAATGTGGAATGAAGCATTCAGTAAAGAAAAAAAATGAAAACTTTAGTAAACAGCCTGCATTTTGATACTGTTTGAAAGGTTCTTCTTGACACTCTATTTTTGTTAATTGTAATTTGAAATTATAATTTCTTTTAACTGAGGCTTTTTTACCAGACAGCTGGTGTCCTTTGTGCCAGAAGTCAAATATGAAGACACACTGTGATGTACTATATTGTAAAGTTGTCAGAATAGGACATGGATTTTAAAACTACAGGAGTGAACAGAAGAGATGACCATCTTCTTTGTTCCTGTTTGTGATTATTTTAATGTATTTTTTCTTTATAGCATCATCTATTTGCTTTTATTTTAAAATAATTTTGTCTTATTGACAACTTAATGATTTTTGGTGTTTTTTTCATAGGCAAGTATAGTTCCTAGTTGTTTGCTCTGTCCTCCTTCTCAAGGACAGTGGGAATGAGGTTTTTTTCCTTCCTGAGTTTATGTTGCTCTCTTTTTAAAACTAATCCTTACCACATTGATTTTACTGGCTTTTCAGATCTTAAAAGTTTTCTGAAAGAGTGGTGAGAAGAACAGCTATATGAGAACAAGGAGCGCATGCTATTTTGATTTCCTTATGAAATAATTATGATTTCTTTTTGAACAGGTATTTAGCAGCAGTAAATGTAAACTCTTTGTGGATTTAATTTATGCAGGTTTTAAAAAAAAAAAGACAGTACAATATGAAATTACTGAATAAAAACATGCACGTGAAGTTGCAGCATGACGGTTATCTGGAAAGTTAACGCACAATATTAAGTATTGGAGAGCTGAGAGACTGAACTAAAATAATCTATTTTTAATTTGATGGTTATTAGCTTGCTTTTGCAGTTGTTTGGATTTTTGTAATGTTCTGTTGGTTTGTGTTTATCTTTCTCCCTTTACTGAGAATGGATTCTGTTCCATCTCAGTGTTGCCTGTCATCGTGAACTATAAATATATCTTTCCTCACAGTTTTGAAACTTAAAGGAATTCTGAAAATCCTTCATTCTTGGAGATCAAAAGCTACTGTAAACCTGGGTAAGTCAGCTTCGCTAGATCTATTTGAAGTAATATCGGTTGACAATCTACCTACCAAATCTCTTGCTTGCCTAAAGTGTCTGTGAGCCAGTGAGTTAAGTAATGCTACAAATTTGATCAGTATTCTAATTTTTCACCTAGGTATTACCTCTGCTTTTTTACCCTTGATTTGGTTCTCCTCTGACCAGTTCTACTTAAGAAGTAGTGTGTGTTTTCTGATCCCAGTTGATCCCAGGCAGTTTCAAAGTCACTCAATTTTTTTTTTTTTTTTTTTTTAAAGGCATCATTCCTCCATGTTTAAATAGAACCAAGCAGGAAGAAGACAGTAATGCTTAAGCAGGGCTATCGCTGAATATGTTTCCTTCTGACATCTGTTAACTTGTGATCTTTAATTTCAGCTGAGCTTCAACTACGATAATTCTAAAAAATAAACACATACCTCCCCCCCTATAGAAGAGAGAGACGCAGTTACAGAAAGTTACAGAAAAAAGGCGAAATAACACTGTTTGGCATTAAGCAAATGGACGAGGAGGAGAAGCCATGCATAGAACTTTTTCCCTTGTGCCTTGTCTTGTTTGCTTTTAGTCTTACCTCTCAAGAGTGTGGATTGTTTAAAATATTTTGAAGCTCCTCCTGTTGTAATCACTACATTCCACTGCATTCACATTACCCCAGTTTGTCTCAGGCTTCACCTAAGTCCATCTTTGTTTCTACATGTTAGGGGCCCTGCATGTAAGTCACATGTTAGTTGTTTGTAATTTGTATTAAAACCAGCAGGACAGATAAAATAAAGAAAATGCAGAAGGAATTAAGGGGAAGCTCACATGAGATGGACTTCCTACGCAATAAAGCACTTCCCCTGACCCAGGTGAATGCAAAACTTTGTATAATTAAAATTTTCTTTTTATTTTTACATTATGTAGCAGTTTTCAGCAGTATGTACCAAAATTATACAGAACCACAGTTGACAGAATGATGGTTTTCCAAGCAATGTACAAAAAGCCTAACTCATTTTTGAGTGCAGTCTGCATAAAATGTGAGATGTATGGTAGTTCTCTATTCATACGCTGCATTTCAGAAGTTTTATGTGACCCTGAAATGTAGTTCTTTTTCAAAAAATGCAACTTTAGGTTGGTATGTTTGTTAAGTTTGAAAACGGAATTGTAAATCTTCCCAATGTTGAGATGTTCCCAGTGTGAATGCCCCTTGTTTATTTTAAATGGCCTCTTGGGTTCTTTTCTGCTGTTTTAAATGTAGATGAGGAACTTATCTAAATGGTCTTTTTTCAAATATGGCCTTTTATCGCTGGATTATATCTAATACAAATTCATATGTGGATTTAGCCAGGAGATACAGTGCTGGATTGTATTGCTGTATCTGACTGCCAGTATTGTTCTGGTAATGATTGCAGTACAGACAAAAAGCGCTGTCCGCAGCTTGAGCTTGATTGTACACTCTGTCATAGAGAAAGTCAAGGGAAATACAAGCTTTCATTTGTGAAGCAAACAAAACAACCGTGTATGTTCATTTCAGCTCCAGTTCATTTCCAGTAAGAGCAAAATAATCTCAGAAAGTCAAAGAGGAATCAGACTAGGCTTCCTACTGCTCACCCACTTTATGCCTATCAGTCAATTTTTGCGAGGAACAAAAATACTGTATAAAAGTGTGTCCACTGAAAAATACTTACGACATGCTTATTCCAGCTTATTTCTTTGCTTTATTTTATTTCGTTTTGTTATTGAAAGAAAAGACTGACATATTCCTCTGTGGCTTATGTCTTTAGGAATATTTAGGGTAGTCCCGCTGATTAATATTTTCATATTCATACAGAATGTAATCAGCATGAAATTGCAAAAAGAAAGCCATCCTTCTATTTTGGAAATGAAAATGCAGAATAAACAACTCAAAGTTTATGTCTTCTATTTATCTTAAGTACATGATGGGTTAATCATTCATGAAGTAATCATTATCTTACAAGTATGGCTAACTGCTCAAGAGAAATGAAAAATAAAATAAATACCATGCTGTTATTTTTCTTTATTATTGGAAGATGTTCCATGGTGTCAGTGCATGCAGGGAATGTTGGACAAGTGTTTAAAGAGATTAAGCTACTGTTTGGGAAGGATTTTAAGAGAATACTGGAAAAGCTATTATACAGTGTGCTACTTTATATTTTACAAGGTTATAAAAACTTGCAGAATAGGTAACAAGATAGAGTAAACAAATACTTTAATGCCTTCTGAACTCCTAGGGTGTTTGCCGAAGTAAAAGAGACATAAGCTTTTAATTTTTAATACAAGTAAACTTTCTTTCACGTACCACATTTTGTGGTATAGCAACTGCAGATCATAGAAAAATATGGCTGAAGTAAGCTTTTCAGATGTCATCAACTTTATTCCCCACCCATACGAAAGGATCAATGAAAGCATTTATGATTAGTATTTGCTCTGTCTTCTAAGTATCTTTGTGTAGTACTTCAGTAGTTTTAATACTTCTTTTTACAGTTAGGTTTTCCTAAGACATTACATACATAGGCTCTTGGTTTGGTGTCATTAGTATTTGTTTTTCCTCTCCATTTTCTAATGGGCTGATGTCGTTGTCCCTGCCTTTCCCCTGCCCAAATTTTCTGCTTCCAATAAGGTTTGGATACTTTAGATTCCTTTCGAGTTTCCTCTGTTTTTCTCTCTTGCGTTTTCTAGCTTGTGTTATTCATTCATATTAAGCTTGATCGAATCACTACAAGTTTTTGGTTGGGTTTGGTGGTTTGTTTCTTTTAATTTCAGATAAATGAAAAACCCGTTAACTTTATCCAAGTTGTTTTTTTTCCCTGTGTTTACATTCATCTGCTTCTAAGAGGGAGTGCCTCCTGAATCTTGGACAACTTCCCTGATGATACAGGAGGTGACATGGTAGTGATGGGTGTGGGTGGGGTGTCTGCTCCATAAGCCTGAGTTCTGCTTTCAGTTGCAACATTATGAATTCTGTCTAAATGAGTTTCTTTCAATGTAGTAGTCTTTTTTCTTTGGTGTTGTGTGTGTCCCGTCCCCCCCCCCCCCTTTTTTTTTTTTTTTTTTTTTTTTTAAACTATAAACCAGTTCACCAGGTTCACTGCACTGAGCTGCAAACACATGATGGTTTGGCCATAAAAAGGGAAATTCCTGAGAACCTCAGGGAACTTTACATAGGAAGTCACGTATTGAGTGAGTCTGACTTTTTAGACTCTAAAGGGTACTTAAGGAGAAGAAGAAATGATGGGTAGAAATGTCTAAGTTTTTTATGCTTAAAAGTCTTTTGCAACAAACAAATAAACATTTCTAGCTACATAGAGCATCCATTTTTGAAAAGAACCAGTCACTAAAAAAGAAGTTTGTTTAAAATGAGTCGTCTTTGATCTTAGAAAGAAATAGGAATTGTGGACAAGGCTGTTATTCTTTTAGTGTCTCCCCTCCTTTACCCTCCAGTTAAATCTATTTAGAAATAAATGTACTTTGTGGAGGTTAATAATGACTGAGAAGTTCTCTTAAGAAAATCCTGTCTCTCTATCCATCATTTGAGATTTGTATGAGGAAGTATGTGATGGGCAAAACATCAAGTCTAACAAAGCAACAGAAGCATAGTGGAAACACGATCAGAAGGCAAGGCTAGTGCTGTGGGAATGAGACTTATTACTGTTGAGTTTCAAAGCCAATGTAATGTTGTACTGAAATGGAGCTATGAAAGTGTCTGAAAAATATCAGTATGCTAATGTGAAAAAAAAAAAAAAGAAAAAGAAAAACCAGAACAATTCTTCTACTTAAAGGCTACTTTAAATATTTGTTTCTAAAAGTAATGTGTCTGCCAATCTTGGCATTAAAATTGGGTGTTTTCTGTTTTATAGGTTTTATATTATTAGTAGCAATTATATTGTAATGACTTCTATCCATTAGTACTACGGGGGAGTTAAATCAACTGGAGTGTGCACTGGTAACAGCCATGAAGTCCTAGGTCACTGCCAGTTTGTTACGGTATTAAAGAATGTCATGGTGGGTGCAGTTTTATGTCAGAAAGAGTTGCAGAGTTAAGTAGGATAACATTACTGTGTCAGGATAGTGGGAAAATAAATGCATAACAGCTGTTATTAGACACCGTAAGTACAAAATAAATCTGTTCCCAAGAACACCATTGTGAATGAAAAAGGAGAGAGAGAATAATCCCTTGCTAGTAGCTTTTAGCATAGCAGGATAAGCTACTTTCTGCCTTCTTTCTGATGTTTTTCAGGATTTCTCCAGGTAGACTAGGGACTTTTATACAGACATTGTTACCTTGGGAGAAATTTCAGGTCTCCAATCTTTATTTTTACTCAAGATTTAGTAAACTGCAGGAAAATCCGTACTTATGGCAGATTTGCATATTATTTGGTTTTGATAAAAATGTTGGTTTTGCCAAATCTTCTGGAACCTTCACGAAACTGGAGGGAAAAAACCCCTACCAAGTTACTTATACACTTCTGTTCTTCTATTTGTAATTTCCGCTACTTTTTAATTGAAGTCTGTATGTTTCAGTTTTTAGGTATTGCACTGTTGTGCCTGATCCATTCCCTTCTCTGGTTTCCAGAAATTGGTATGTATGAACTTGCATTAAACGTTTTAAGTGATTAAAGCCCTGTAAAGGACAGTGAGTTACATGTGACAATCTCTCTTCGAAATTAGCGATAACATGGGAAGTATCCAAAACAAGTCAGTTCATGTAGTGCATACGTTTGGGTTACCAGTCCCCATGGGAATATGTCAGAAGACAAGCTACGTTACTAAGTTAACCACACACACATTTGTCTTCTTACAATTTTTCCGTTCATTCAAATGGGACATGAATATTTTGTTTCCTAATCTGCGCAATTACCCTGGAGCTCATGTTGTAATGTGTCAGTACAATGACAGCTTCCCCTGAATGACAACTCACAGCTATAGTGAAAAATGACAGGATTTGTAAACTAAGGTTGTTTAAAGAAAACGCACAGTTCTTGAGTGACTATTTCTCAGTTAATCATAACTGCATTTTACAATACACCTTAAATATACTTATTTTAAAATGGGTCTAATTGGCATGCTTAAAGGGACTTGTAGTGGTGTATAACAGAATATGCTGTACTACCACCTACTAACGCAATATTGTTGATGGCAATTAGAAGATGCTCAAGAGAGATTCTACACATTCTACAATGTGATCTAGTAAAAACAAGCCAGTAGTAATGGGTCTCAGAGTTTGTAAATATTCACCTTAGTGGCAGGCTTTTTCATCACTCCTTTTGTTGTTACTTGGGTAGTTACTGTCACTAGCCTTTTTTCTAATGGAGGCCTTATTTTTCATGTAGCATAAGCCACTACTTGTCTCCCTGGATGTACATTTGTGTGGAACTCCGTTATATATGATATTTCATTCTATTTATCCTGAAGTTTCCTTAATGGCATCTTGCTTAACAAAAGAGGTGAAATGGGTATTTTACACTCATAAGTGTAGGAAAGGAGTCTTGGACTGAAAGCTGACTGGGAAGCTCTCACCTGATTTTCATCCTCATGAATGGAGCTAGAACTCTGAATATAAATCACTGTAAGGTTTGCTATGTTTTTTAAATATGAGTTTTGGAACTTGAACTTATATCTGTGCCATACATTGACTGTATTTAGTTTCAGCTCTTGGGACAAGGGATTGACTATGTAACATTTATACGGCAGCTAGCATAAGCCTTTACTTGTACCTGCGGAGTAGGGGAATTGCTGCAAAATAAGTACCTAATTCTAATAATAATGTGATCCCCCTAAAATAAGGAGAATAAATCCCAACATTCTAAGTGCTTTTGAACACTTTCAAAATGTTCAGAAAGTTTTAAGGTGTAGTAAGACAGAAGTCTTAACATAAGTATGCTGCAGACATTAAAAAGACTAACACTGTTGTCATGCTGATTTCATTTTTCTTTTGTTGTATAAATATATATATAGTACATAAAAAAAAAATTGGAGATGATCTGAATTGGCTCATAAAACCTTGCTGGTTTGCAAATCATTACGATATTTTAACTGCACTGCCTGGTTCTGAGTTAGTATCTGTAGGCATCTTGCATTATATTATACCTGGGAATTGCAGCTGAAACTTGTGGCTACACAATACTGTTCTAGAAACTTGGTATTTAAGGTTAAAGGAACAGAGCAACTTCTATGCAAGATCTCTGATGCAAAATTCTGGTCATGGTAACTTCTATAGCTTCTCCTTTGTTTAAATAATGCTGATGGTTTTGTCTTTCCACTGCACTTCAGTGGAAGCACTTTTTTTTTTTTTTACTTTTTACTTTCAGCTTAGCTTCTTAGATTCTTCATGTTTATGGCCATTGATTTTCTTGAGATGTTCCTACAATGCTTAAGAAATTCTTCTCTAATTAATCATGCCATATGTACTTGATACCAAACCCAGAGACTTGAAAGGTGCATTGCTTTCTAGAAAGTGTATACTTCTATACATTTTATTCAGTTTATGTAGATATGCATGGTTGGTAAATATTAGGTATATTGGTAGTTGAAGAAGGTCTGTACTGGGTTTGTGTGGCAAGGTTTTGGTAGCGGGGCAGGGCGGTATAGGGGTGGCTTCTGTGAGAAGCTGCTAGAAGCTTCCCCCATGTCCGACAGAGCCTATGCCAGCTGGCTCCGAGACAGACCTGCTGCTGGCCAAGACTGAGCCCGTCAGCGATGGTGGTGGTGCCTCTGGGAGAAGAGATTTAAGAAGGGGAAAAAAACCTGCAGCCAAAGAGAGCAGTGAGAACATGTGAGAGCAACAACCCTGAAGACCCCCAGGTCAGTGAAGAAGGAGGGGAGGAGATGCTCCAGGCGCCGGAGCAGAGATTCCCCTGCAGCCCGTGGGGAAGCCCACGGTGAGGCAGGCTGTCCCCCTGCAGCCCAGGGAGGTCCACGGGGGAGCAGATCTCCACCTGCAGCCCAGGGAGGACCCCACGCCAGAGCAGGGGGATGCCCGAAGGAGGCTGTGACCCCGTGGGAAGCCCACGCTGGAGCAGGCTCCTGGCAGGACCTGTGGCCCCGTGCAGAGAGGAGCCCATGCTGGAGCAGGTTTTCTGGCAGGACTTGTGACCCCGCGGGGGACCCATGCTGAAGCAGTCTGTGCCTGAAGGACTGTAGCCCGTGGAAGGGACCCACGCCGGAGCAGTTCGTGGAGGACTGTCTCCCATGAGAGGGACCCCATGCCAGAGCAGGGGACGAGTGAGGAGTCCTCCCCCTGAGGAGGAAGGAGCAGCAGAGACAACATGTGATGAACTGACCCCAACCCCTATTCCCTTTCCCCCTGCACTGCTGGGGGGGAGGAGGGAGAGAATTTGAGAGTGGAGTTGAGCTGGGAAGGAAGGAGAGGTGGGGGGAAGGTGTTTTGAGGTTTGGTTTTATTTCTTGTTATCCTACTCTAGTTGATTGGCAATAAATTAAATTAATTTTCCCCAAGCTGAGTCTATTTTGCCTGTGATGGTAATTGGTGAGTGATCTCTCCCGGTCCTTATCTCGACCCACAAGCCCTTTGTTATATTTTCTGTCCCCTGTCCAGCTGAGCGGGGGGAGTGATAGAGCGGCTTTGGTGAGTACCAGGCCTCCAGCCAGGGTCAACCCACCACAAGGTCTCTCTGAAAAGGATGACTCTGGAAAGGGTGATGAGTTTGAATTTCCAGTAATTAAATGATAGTCAAATAATTTCACAAACATTAAATAACGTTAATGAACAAATAGGGTTTCTAATATTCAACAGTTAATGACTACAACAATTTGTTTTCAGCAGTTGAAAGGCATTTAAAATACTCCAATACTTTACTGTGTTAATACTTACATTATATTACTTAGGATAATAATAGGAACTTAAACTTGTATTTCTATTACTTATATGCCTGTAAGATTTCCCACAGACATTTAGTACTACCCACTTGGACAGCTGACTTTACCTAATTACCATTCTCAAGATGCAGTAACTCATTTTCCCCCACACCCAATGCTATATATACTTTTCATGTGATGGGTTATAAAAACTCTTACGCTGAGGACTCAGTAATCTGTTTTTTTAGTAGAGTCAGTTCAAAATGTTCTGCAGTCACAGATAGTATTGCCTGGGCGTTTTACATAAAGTAAGCCGAGTTTATATAATAGAAACAGAATATAGAACATAGGGCAAATAGTATTTGTGATCTTTCTGCTCCCACGTTCTAATATAAATTGAACGGGGTTTTTTTGTTGTTTCTGTTTGTGATCACTAATTCACGTTTTTCCTATGTCCCAGGATAGCTGGTCATAAATGAATGGATCTATGTCTAGTGAGTCCAGCAATTATTAGAACTACTTTAAAAAGTTTTTTTAGAATTGATGACATGACTGAGACTAGATGACAAAAAAATCTAATAAAATACTGTATCTTAAGAAAAATGTAACATTAGTGTCATATAACATTATTTGATGATAGATAACCTAATGTAAATGCATGAAATAATTGTCATCGCCTACCTGAAGACAAATAGCTTCTCCTGAACTAGCAGGCTTTTCCATATAAAATGCTACTATTTTACCAGTTTTCCCCATTTTTTGGCCAAATAAATTTTATAATGGCCATAAATGGAAAGCGTGATATGTCAACTTAAGCATTACAGTATTAACAGAGGGCATTTTTCTTGTGATTCTATATAATTGCAATCAATTACATTGTTACCTGAAAAATTGTTCTGTAGCACTGTCACTTGAAAGAAATGCTGTTTCCTTCCATTTCCCCACGTATCTAAATGTCAAAATGTGTGGATTCAGATGCACATGGATTGTAAGCGTGTGTGTGGCTGGAATTTTATGATCATAATGCTACCTTTTGCCATAAATATCTGAAATGGAGATCTGCACCTGTTATCCTAGCTGACTGGGACACGAGGCTGTCACCTGGTATGGTGATGTTTGAGTGGAAACGTCAGTTAGTTCATTCTGTTCTGATAACAGCACTACCACATCACAAGGATTTGTCAGGAGAAAAGTGTCCATGGTATAAAAGAAAGGTCAAATAGTATTATCAAAACCACTTAAACATTAATTATAGCAGTTTCAAAGTTTTTTCGTTATGAGTTGGAAAGTACTTCCCCTCATGCATACGTAGAGGGAGTAAAATGAAGGTAGATTTTGTAAACATGAAAATTACTAAGGATACTGGGCTAAGATGAATTAACTGCCAGGCAACTACTTCATATCATATTTGCTAAGTTGATTTGGGGTCCAAAACGAGGTGTCTGAAATTTTTACCAGAGGTGTAGTGGATGTCTGCATTTCATCTGACACACTGATATCCCACACTTAATGAACGTAACATTTCTAGTATATCAGTAAACTAAATCAATATGTATTCACATGAGGAATTAAATGACTTTCATGGCTGTGAAGTACTGACTATCCTGTACAAGTCTGGACATCTTATTCTTGTTACTCCTGTTTTGTGGAGAAGCAGTTCTCTTTGATTTTTGTAGCTAATAGTAATTTTACAGATATTAGCTGGCAGCATTTGAAAATGAGTTTTTTTCTCTAGCTCTCTTACTATAACTTTTTCTCCTCAGCCTCATCAGAATGATCATGATGCCAAATTTGGCCTCAGAGAGTGCTATCTTTTTTGTTAGAAAACCAACAATTACTTCAGTGCATTTGTAAGGCTGCTCCTTATATAGACTATCTTCCTCCCTTTCCTGGCTTTTCTTCTTTAGCCTTTGCTTTAACTTCATAGCAAGCAGTCAGTCATCCTAAATACCACAAGTAGTTATACAAAATAATGTTAGAGGAGTTCCCATTTTACTGCCGATACTGAAAAACATCTCCCTGTGAAACACCAGGAAAAACATACTTTCTTTTGTCACTTAGCTTTCTCATTTAGTGTCTTATGGAAATAGCATCTGAATGTTTGGGTGTGGGCTACCCCATGTTTGATAACCATAGGAGTGAGCCCAGTACCAGGGTAGCAGTTCATTCCTACATGTCATTATTCCTAACTCATTCCATTAAAATAAGTAATGCAATTGTTGTTGATACACTGACTAGAAAAATAACAGCTGCACGCTGTTTCTTCCATGCTGTTATGTGCACTGACAGTCCATGGGTGTGGTATTAAGGCCTCGTTGGCAGATGTTTCAGATGACCTCAATATTCACAAGTCGCAAATACCCAAAAGAGTTATGGAGATCACCTCAAATGAGTTACATTTATCGAAATAAGCTTCTGTAAAAATGTGAAGTGGCTAGGTGGCATCCTTTGAGCAGCCAGGCTAGTGAAAATTTTCACTCACTGCATAGCAGTAATTATCTTATATAAACACATTGGAAGTATCCGGAATAAGGCCTGATTATATGTGATGAGTAACAGAGAACACACTTTGTTTTTAAGCTGCATATGCCTTTTAATTTTCCTCGTAAGAAGATATACGCGAATGTACTTTCACACAGCTCATTGGATTATGACTTGAACGGTATTTTAATATTTGTGTCACTTCAACTGAAAGTGTCATCACCGAAGTATGGGGGCCTAGTAAGCACACTAGTTAATGATGCATAGCTTTCTGGCTTGGCTGGAAAGAGATTTCACTACTCCTGCCTGAGTACAGTTCTATTGACTTTTTAAGGCCAGCTGATTGTAAGTAGAACATTGCCACCTTTTGGTCGTAAAGACAAGACATGCAGTTAAAGAAACATTACGCAAGTTGAGGATGCTGCAGCAAAACTACTTAATAATATATTATTTTGTAATGTAACTGCTCAGTAATGGCAGCCCAGTTCAGTGGAGGTTGTAGGCATCATTTGCTTTGATAGTGTGTATTTCATACCA